GCTAATGTATCAATTCCACATTGTTGTGTGGGGATACACAGAACAACCAAATTTTTAAGACAGTAGTGTATTATTTTGTTGAATAGTAAACAGAATATAGGTATAAGTGTATAACAGATAATTCTATTTTTTAAATACATGTATTTAAAATTTTTAAAAATGAGTTTTGAGTATCATTTTTAAATTTATCACTGTTTAACTTAAGATTTAATTGAAAATACAATTTTATTGTTTGACATTATATTTTTTATTTAGATCTTATCTAAACATAAAAATTTGKTAAGTATTTAACAAAAAAAGTTATAATATAGTAATCATTTCATACTTAATAGTTAATATACAAGAGTTATTAAAAAAATATAATTTATGTATAAACGATTATAATACAAAAATAAACAAATTTTGTTGTTATTAAGAACAAATAATAGTAGGTAACATTTAAAAATTGCTTAAATATTGTATTTTTGATTATTATTTTGTTAATAGAACACAATGATTGTTAAACATTTAAGAACATCATTAGAAAAATAAAATCTATAGAAAATGTCAAGCCAAATTAATTACATAATGAAAAAACTAAAAATATGTATTTTTGACAACTGATAAAGTAATAGCACTTAGTAATTGCCTRGAATTGTTCATATTTGTATTTATAAATAATAAGATTTAAGTAGTTTGCACCAGAAGTTGACATTTGAAAAAATGTACAAACAAGATRAATTCCTGAGGGGCAATTGAGATAAAGACCAAACTTGGTYGTAAGTATATGTATAAAAATATTACATGACTTGATACTATATTAAATGTTTTGAGTGGCCAAAATTGGTAAATAAATATTAAATTTGCCATCTTCAAGAAAACACAATCAAACAATTATTTATTAACAAAATAGGATTTTATAGTTAAAATTAACTGACTATCATATTGATTGCTTAAAACTATGTTAAGTATTAACAAGAAAAAAAATTGTAATACCCTACATGTTAATTGCATGTCGACAGATTTGTTCAAATGTACAATTGGTGTACGACTAGATATTAATATTTAATACTGTGAAAAATATTGGTTTTAAATGTGAATGGTTAAAATTGACAATAACTGGGAACACAACAATTTAGTTTAGTGCAGGCAGGTATATAACAAACACTTATTGTACATTATATAGCATAAACTGCTAAAGTATGGAACACTTTTTTGAACTTTTCTGTGGTGTAGACCTGATTGGTGGTCTTTCAGATAATTGAAACCTCCGTACAATGCGAACAAGTTCATGGAATGATTGATCAATGTTCATCCCTGCTTTTGCACTGCATTCTATGTAAGGTATTTTTAGCTGCATTGCCATATTTTGTGCATCTTGTATAGAAACCTTTAATATATTTAYATAATTAAAATTAATATCAAGTAAGTCCTTTAATGATTAAAACATACCATCCTTTGACTACTTAAATCTGCTTTATTTCCAACCATAAGCATAGGAAATTCATCTCTATCTTTAACTCGAAGTATTTGTCGGTGAAATTTTTCCATCTCATTGAAACTAGTTTTATCTGCCACAGAAAATACTAACAAAAAACCTTCACCAGATCTCATATATTGTTCCCTCATGGCACTAAATTCTTCTTGTCCAGCAGTATCCAAAACTAAATAATTATAATTATATCTTTATTGTAAATATAAATTATTTAATAATGTCTTCAAAAAGTTATTACTATCTAATTTTGCTGGAATATCATCTACTACGCATTGTTTAGTGTATGAATCTTCAATTGTTGGATCATAGTCTGTCACAAAATATTTCTAAAACAATAATATGATGTTCATTGCATGCAAATATACTATTCAGTAAATAATATTTGAAGCAAGATCAGTTATTAAATTTAACATTCAAAGATAAATAGTAGGTAACTAGTATATACTTATGTATAGAAGTAAAATATATTATACATTATCTGACACTGTATTATTTATTAAAAAATTTAATATGTATTTTACAATTTTATAATATAGCACTAAAAACATATTTAATGGATATTGATTTTAACATAGTTTATTATAATTTAATAATTATATTTTACGAGTTAATAAAATAAAATAAAATATTTTATTTTATTTTATTTGCTTAAATTACACACATATCCGTTTAAGATATAGTAGTAATGTCCCATAAAAATCTATATATAAAAATAATTATTTGATCAAAAACAAGATTTTAGTTTTTAGTAGTTATGGTTATAAATAGAAAAATATGGTAGTATGATTTTTACAGATGACATCAATGACCTCATTTTATAGCTAATTTAAACCACATCAAAATTATGTATTCATTAGATTATAATATCAAACATCTTAAAAAATATATAATATAATATACTGCATTATTATATTCATAGTAAATCCATATAAGGAGTTGAGAATTATCTGTGTAGGTATAATGGTGTACCTTGAATTGGACCCACTGGCAAGGGAATGTTCACACCCACGTGTTATGCAATTAGTTGTTGCAATTTAACCACACATTTTTGGTAGCAGTCACATCCACATGAGATCTAACAATTGTTTTTTATAATTTTAACAAAATATACATTGGTATTATTTATCATAAACAAAATCCTGAATTTTGAAAAAGTTATAACAATTTAWTAATAAATATTGAAATTAAWATATATAWTAAATAATTTAAGTTATACTTTAAAGTTCAAATCTCAACTTAGGGTCTAAACAATTTCAGAAATGATATATGAAAGGTATGGAAAACTATTTTAGGAATCAAGTTTAAACTTTTTTTTTTTAAATTAAATGACTATAAACTATACATATTACTATTGATGGATATAATTTATTAGAAGGTAGTATTAAAAATGATTTTTAATTCAATTAGTTTACAATTTAAAACAAGTCATCTTATATTTATGGATACGGAATAATCTAACTTTTGTTACTTTTAAGTTCTATTAAATTATATTAGTTTGTAGTAGATTTATCATGTTGACCATTAAGAAACAATAGGTTAATATTCTGACATAACTACTTGATGATATTAATTTGAATAATAATACAGTACTTTTTCATTTTTTTTTTTTAAATTATGAAGACTACATAACATATATATCATTTGACAGATAATAAAAAAGTGTTACATTCAATTCCTACCTTATAACATACTTAGAGTAACTATTTAATTTTAAATACATAARTCTATAGACCTATAGTGTGTAATGGGCATAAAATATTAAAATATATTGTTTAAATGTATCAACGTTCAATTCAAAATAAAATAGAATGTTCGTAAAAAAAAATAGCAATGATTCACATACACATATAATAAATGTTTATWTTCGAATTACTATATGTTTTCTAGTTTAAAATTTCAATACCGTCCAATTAAATACCTGTATGAATTGTATAGTGATTGCAGACTTCCCAACACCACCACCTCCGACAACTACCAATTTGTAGTTCTGGTTATAATTCGGGCGATTCATTGTAATGCGATGTATAAATAGCACTCTATTGGATTTTTTTAAAAAAAAGAATATTTTCAAAATAAGATAAAAACGGACGTAGTGCGAAAGCTAAAAAACAAAAATCGTTTCACATACTAAATAACAATACATCTGCGTACTAAGTATGGCGGATACGAGTACGAGATCCTAACAGTAGCATAGTAGGACAGTAGGTAGTTACTAGTTACGGATAGCAGTATACCACGACTAAGTACTAACACGGACCAGTAACACTACTAACACTAAACCAATAACTATACAGTAATCGTAATGGACAATCCTCAAATTCAATGAGCATTGGGCAACCAACCAGAGTACCGAACCCAACAGTGAACGGCGTGAACCGACGGAAAAGGAAAGAGAGCGAAGACCTGAACAAGCCACAGCTGTCAAAACACTTGTGAGTTGTGAGTTTGTGACACACTAGTCTGTCATTAGCAGCTCGCAACACAAGCAACAGGCCCAAATGACAGATAAGAGAAAATTTACAAATGGATACACTGTGCAGATTTGTATTTTTCGTTATCATCACAATTCACAATCATGAATTTCCATTCATGAAAGACCGTGTTATAAATCAAATATCTAATATCAGCAGCTGTAGCCTGTAATCGAGGTTTTCAATTTTTTATTTATTTCGACGCGTCTCCAACTTCTTTATAATTTTAAAAATTTAAATATTTTATCATCATTTATAGGATAATTTTAACAAAGGCTTAAATAATAAA